TGTCATGTATGTACAGGTGATGTGAAGTAGAAATAGCACTGTTCAGGGTACAAAGGGGCTAGCCCAGGAGGAGGAGAAAACAAGGATGGCGGGCTATGAAGGAACTGATACTGTATGAAAATGGCCTTATATAACCAAGTATAATGCAATCAAAATAATTTAAAAACAAAATAAAATATGTTCAAAGCTTCTCATGAACTGGCAAGAGTCAAGGCTGTTATCATCAGATGCCCATGAGATGCAGGGATAAAAAGAATGGCATTCTTTACTGAGCAAGTCTGTACCTGTGCAGTTTGGGCCTGGTGGACTTGTTGCATGGCACAGAGGCTCCCTCTCTGCCGACCGGGCAGCCTGCCCATCAGCACTTTTCAGAGAACCCAGTGATGCTGCCCAGTTAGTCCCAAGTGTCATCTAGTGTGACACATCTGTTGGCACCCATCTTGTAAACAGGTCTCTGTTGTGCTAACCAAACCCTTCTAGAGACACATTTGTGACTTTCAGTGAAAGTTCTCTGGAGCTCTCCAACATCTGTCCGAAGCACATCTGGCAGCTCTTCAGGTTGAAACACTCCCTAGGGCTCATCTTCAGGTGCTGCTGGATTCTCTTATCATCAGGCCTTGGAGTCACAGACATCAGGGGAGATTATGTATGGATATAGGTGGAAGAGAATGTGCATCTTATCCCATCTGTGTTTACAAATCCTCTGCTCCATTGCAAGTCTCCTGTGATGATCCCATGTCAAAGGCCAGAACTCCAGGACGCTACTTGTTGCATTATGGAATTCTTTTTCTAAATGCCATGACAGATATAGCCAGAGGCCTGTCCTCTTGGAGATTCTCGATCTTGTCAAGCTGACAATAGTAACCATCACAGTATCTTTCCAAAAGGAAATAAAAATGACTCTTCACTTTGGATAAAGCCTTTTCCAGTTTTAATGCATGTTTCTGTAGGGACAAATTGCTGCTCAACTGATAAATATTTCTGCAACACTATTAGCCCAGGTTTGAATTTCACATGGATGTAGGTGCTGAGCATCCAGGGCAACTAGCTCTCACAGCAAATGCCAAAGAATGAAACACTAGTTCTGATTTTATTTTTTGTGTGCTCCTGGAAAACAAGGCAAAAATTATGCTAATTGTGCCTTCTAATGACTTTGGGACTCTATTAAAATATATCACTATAAACCACGCATGATGGCAAACTCCCATAATCCCAGCCCTGGGGGGACTAAGGCAGGAGGATTGAGACTTTGGGGCCAGCCCGTCTAAACATACCAATGGTTGGGGCTGTCCGTATAGCTTAGGGGTAGAGCATACACGTAACATGCACAGGGCCCTAGCTTTGATCCCCAGCAATGTGATCCTAGCCCTGCATGCTATAAATATTAAAATTTTTCAAGGGAGAGAAAATTTTTAGTGTGTGTTTCAGGACAAGGTTGTAGCTGTTTCTGAGAGTAGAATTTGCATAGGGGATCCTTGAAGGAACAAGGCTTGGGAGTGCAAAACAGATGTAATGGGGAGGAACTGGGTGGGTTGTAATAGTGCTTGCTTCTTGGGTCAGTCATGGTGGTACATGCTGTAACCCCAGCACTCTGGAGACAGAAGCAGCAGGATTGCCACAAGTTTGAGGTTCTGTTGGTCTGTAAAAGAGTTCCAGGTCAGACAGGGCTCCATAGTAAGACCCTGTCTCAAAATACCCAAACAACAACAACACAGGAACTTGCCGCTCCCACTATATAGAACTCAAATCTATGAGGAATCTAGTGCTCTAAGGGGAAGATTACACATTGAATATAGTATCCAATTGCTGGTATAAAATTCAACTGTCTTCCCCTAGTCCTTGCAATTATAACTCCTACTAAACAAATGAATGA